ATGAGCATAACTCATGTTAACATTCATGAGCATCACTCATGACAACATCCATGAGCATCACTCATGTCAATCAACATAAACATTCATAAGCATCACTCATGTCAATCACTCATGTCAATCAGCTTCAAAAGCTTCATTTACAGAGCTCTAGATTTAAAAGCTTCATTTACAAAAGCTCCAGCTTCGAAAGCTTCATTTACAGAGCTCTAACTTCAAAGCTTCACTTGCAAAGCTTCACCTACAAAGCTTCAGTGCAGGGTATACAAATACCGCATCCGAACAACCGCCATTTCGGCCCATACATGGATTCAATTTGAAGTCTCCAGCCAACAAACTCTATTGACCGAAGACTTGGGGGACGACACTATACACCATATATTGGGCCTCAACTGGGCCTCATGAAAAATACTTGGAGGACTTAGCCCATTATTTATGTATTGAGGAGCGAGCCCTTATTCTATAAAAGAGACTCCTTCACTTTCATTGGAGAGCACTCATGAAAAATACTTGGGGAACTTAGCCCATTATTTATGTATTGAGGAGCGAGCCCTTATTCTATAAAAGAGACTCCTTCACTTTCATTGGAGAGCACTCATGAAAAATACTTGGGGGACTTAGCCCATTATTTATGTATTGAGGAGCGAGCCCTTATTCTATAAAAGGGACTCCCTCACTTTCATTAGAGAGCACTCATGAAAAATACGTGGGGGACTTAGCCCATCACTTATGTATTGAGGAGCGAGCCCTTATTTTATAAAAGGGACTCCCTTACCTTTGTTAGAAAAAAGAGCACCGCCGCCAGCTGAGCAATCACCTCGCCACGAGCATCACTCTTAACCCATTATTCATGTACTGAGGAGCGAGTCCTTATTTTATAAAAGGGACTCCCTCACCTTCATTAGAGAGCATCGCCGCCAGTTGAGCAACCGCCTCGCCGCGAGCATCACTCCTAACCCATCATTTATGTATTAAGGAGCGAGCCCTTATTCTATAAAAGGGACTCCCTCACCATCATTAGAGAGCATCAACTCTAGCCCATCATCCATGTATTGAGGAGTTAGCCCTTATTCTATAAAAGGGACTCCCTCACCTTCAAACGCCACAAGCCGAGCCAACCAAGGCAACATAAGCCACGAGCCGAGCAGCGTCGTAACGTGTGCTACTTCTAGTTGAGCATCATTTCAGATTGAGCACCGCCTCATATCGAGCATCAGTTCAAGACAACATCTAGTTACTTCGGCCCACACATGGACTAAATTTCAAGTCTCCAGCCAAAAGACTATCTTGACTGAAGACTTGGGGACTACTGTTTATACCATATTTAGGGCCTCGTATTTAGACCTCGTATAAATACTCGAAGGACTTAAATGTAATTATGTAATAAAGGAAGGGGCAAATATGTAATAAGTGAGGAGTCCTTATTCTATAAAATGACCCCTCACCCTCACAATTAAAGGAGGCCAACTCTTAGGCCTGAAACCCTCTCACATCCCCTCTCATATTACAGAGGCTCTCTCCCTCACTTCTCAGAGAAATACAATACAATCAGTGTGGACGTAGCCCAAACCTTGGGATGAACCACGATACATCTTGTGTTATTTACATTACTTGCAGATTCACGGTCGAATTTACGTTGTTCCAAGACCTCCGGTTTTGTGCATCAACAGTGGACAATCTCAGGGACCATTCTATTGATTTTCAATCTCAGTAACCATTTCTATTGATCATGCAAATCTCAAGTACTATTTTGTATAATAAGACTAATAAATAAGATGATGAATATCATCATCACTCGAAAATGATGAGCAAAAATAATTCCGATTGAGATATAAAGGTAACGAATCATTTTGGCCATAAGCAACATGATGACATTCATTACTATGCCCCAACGTTATTATTATTATACACTAAGTCATGGGATTACAAATGTTTATCAATTCATTTCACAACAATTCAATAATTTCAATTCATTGTTTAGCATATCCAAACTTTTTTTATAAATCTTCATCAAAGGTAGTGCAGATATGATAATTATTTAAACCCATCGTAATCACACGAGTTTATATCACTTTCGAACTCCGTTGGAATATATATTACTTTCGCATATTTGAGAGTCAAATATCAAAGTTCATTCAAAGTTAAGAGAAATACTGAAGCAAAGACTAATTGATCAAATTACGTTATTAAACCTACAAAAGTTCATTCGGAAAATGATAATCACGCACCTATTTCACTCCTCGCTCACTCAGTTTAATCAATTTCGTTTATTATGTTTGATTTATTAAACTTGATGGTTAGAAAAAGAATGGTGTGTAAGAAGAAGAAAATTCGTTTGTGTTATTATTTCCCAATTCATATTAGGCTTGCATAACAGTTTCTTAATTTATTTAATTAAAAATTGGTTATAATATTAGTAAAATTAATAATTTAGTAACATCAACGACAACTACAATTTCATAGTTAATGATCTTAATGTGTCAAAAAATTGAGAGCTAATCAACACTTTTCTAGTGAGGGAAAAAAAGGTCGTTGAGTTCATTATTGATACTTTTGCTTTTACGATGATTGCGACCCATATTTTGATATGAGAATTGATAGGAGAATGATGGGAGTGGAATGGGGTACAAAACTGCCCATCTGTTCAAATCATTGCTCAATTGTTGTTGGGGTTTCATTTTTCGGCTTTTTAGCTAAAATGGTTAATGGAATTGACATAATTTTTTACTTTAATTACTGACAATGAAAACAGAAAGAATTGGTTATTGAGTTTGTCTATTGTAAATCACTTTAGTCATTTTGTAAAAAAAATTGTCAATATTTTTGTTAACTAGATGTTGGTTTGACAAATATATCCTCAAAAAGATGATCACATGGTCGTTTACGTAATAATCTAACGAGAATATTGACAGATTTTTCACGAAATTACTAAAATGGTTTATAAAGGGCACTACCTCTACCGATGTTCATTATTAGGGACCAAGCTAAAAAACTATGTCAATCTTAAAGACCATTTTAACTAAAAGACCTTCACCATTTTTATCTGAATTTTTTCGTCGCCACTTTCGAACACATAGGAGTACTATTTCATTGACTATGTCATATGCTAAAGGAGTAGGATTCTCTCCCTTCTTTTTTTCCTTCCTCTTTCCTCTCCTTTTATTTGAACGGTCACGGTTAAGTCACGCCAATATCTTATATTAATTTTTTATAGAAATGAAAGACAAAATAGAGAATATGAGAGGAGATGATGAAAAGAAAAGGGGAAAGAATCCTAGTCCTATACTAAAATACTTGGAATGGTACTATTTCAACCCAATTTCTTAATGTTTCTTACATAGATTCTTCTATGATTGATGATTTGAAAATATATCTTAATCGTATAAATTTGCGTTGCAGAAACATAAAGATATTTTGGTAAAAGAAGAATTTAGGACTAGGGTTCTTAAGTCGCAAATTGTCCCCTTGTGTTAGAGGTGGCTTGTACTTTCTATTTAGATATTGTTTCTCCCTATGTTGGCATATGGTTTAAAGGCGGTAGGGGTTTTTGTGGTTTGGTCAACAATGCTCATAGGGCATGAAGTGGCCTAACTTCATAGTGCCTAGATACCTCCAATCTCCTTTCTCCCATTTTTTAGATCTTAATACTTTTTCTATTGATAGTTTACTCAACCACTCATACTTATATCATACTTATAGGTAAACAAACTCTCCTAATCAAATCTACTTTAGCTTTAAATGATGGGGAAGATCAAAAGAAAATAAAATAATCCAACAAGTTTTCTCGTCCAAGAAATTTCTTTTAAAAAAATGGTCTTTAAAGTTTTTGGGTGACGACCTTCAAACTCTTTTGCGTGAAGAGATTGTTCATATCATTAGCGACTGTTTCTGGATAATTATTTCATCACTAAAAGTTTATTTTATTTGGATGAAAAACATGGAAGAGAAAACGAGGGCAACTGATATGGTTACCTGGCTGTGAGGCTTAAAAAAAGTAAAATTATTTTGTGTTTATTTTTACCATATTGTCCATAACTTTTATTTGGTTATTTTTCTTTTGTTTTGTTGACAAAGTTAACTTGGTATTTTCATCATCTTTTAGTTGACAAGGAAGATTTTGTTAATAGGTAGTTCAGATAATGGTTCATCCAAAATGAATGGAACAAGGCTCCCTTTTCAATTGGAATATTTTTTGTAAAAAATTGAAAATAAATTTGTGTTCAATGTTTATACTTTATAGTTAGGCCAATTGGTTAAAGTATTGTTTTCTCTTTGCACCTTAAGTCAAATTCACTTCTTTAAAAAAAAGAGTAGTTTATAATATCGTCTTCTCGAACAAATATATTAGTGTTCCGATCGATTGGACTAAGCCTTATATTTCCAAGGCTGCGTGCAACTGAGGCCCAAAGAATGGGTTATTAAGGCCCAAATTAAACTTTATCCGCATTAAGATCATAGTGGGCCAAATTACATCTGATGGATTTAGAGGGACAATGTAGCCAACCCATTTGAGCATAACTTTGAGATTTGCTATTACCAAATTGGGCCTTTTGAATTGAAACTTGAACCAATTTTGTTGTACGATATGCGTACAAGTAATACCCTAAGCCCTAACCCGTAAACCTTCGAACACATAGCACTTTCAAATTTCGGTGCAACTCACGGAAGGTTACTAATTATCGGATAACGTCATTAATAACATACCATGCGTCAAGACTCCCGAATAATTTTCATCACTAATTCATTCGTTCACACATATTATAACACATAACACGTAACGATATACACAAGGACCAAATCAACAAATTGAAAATTTGGTCAAACAAATTAATATATATCCAAATCTTTGAGTGGGACCCACTGTACCGAGAGTGTACCAGGTGGATGCTGACTCATTGCATTTGGGAAATTTCAAAGTTTGTGATTCTGTCTCATCCTTTTTCTGGTCAATCAATGCAGTCAACGCAGATAATTCTCCAAATATAAATATAAATATAAATATAAATAAATGGGTTGATTAGTAAAACAAAACCAAGGCAGGTATTTCTGATTAAATTCTGTAATTTTCGTTTTTGCCAGTTAGCCCCTCTCTAACCACATGCACACACGCACTACCCAAAACGAACAACCTTCACCATTTTCTCTGCGTTCCTAAATTTTGCTAATTAGTCCCTATACTATTCACATTTTTCATCTCCTACACCTTACTCTGCAGAAACCTACCTAACCGCCTGGCATGGCCGCCATTGCCATAAAACTCCATTTCTTCCTATACCCACTAAATTACTCAACGCACCCCTCAGATTCAGATTTCAAAATTCAAATTAGGTCTCCGTCTTCCCCGATAAACCTCGCCAGCGCAGCATCGTCCCAGTCCATCTCTACCCCCACCCCCGCCCAACCACTACGCGCCAACTCTTTTGTTTCACTACACGCGCCGCCGAACCCACTCGCCTCTTCCTCCTCCGCCATTACCAACTTCAAAGATTCCAAGCCGATAACCTCCTTTGCAAGCCCGTACAAACCGCTGACCTCCTCCACCTCCTCCATCAACCACTTCTCCGACTCCAACCCCAGCACCTCCTTCGCAATGCCGTACAGCCCGCCGCACAGGTCGACGCTCGCCATGACAGTCGACACCGAGTCCGAGAACGCCGGCCCACAGCTCTCCTCGTTGAGGTTGATCGTGACGTACGACGAGGGCAGCGCTTGGAACACCCACGACGAGGAGTACGGGTTCTCGACGAAAGTCACCGCCGTGGCACCTGCAGCGGGGACGATCGGCCAGTCTTTGTTCACGAGCTTCGCGAGCTCCTCGAGCGCCCCGCCGTTTGCCTTGGTTAGCATAGTCTTAACGTCGTCGTTTTCCACTTTCTCAGCCGCCAGATCTCGCTGCTTCTTCGCGGCGCTCCCCTCGTCTTCCGCCTCTTCGCTTCCGGGTCTCTTGCGAGTGTCCTCCATGAGAGAGAGAGAGAGAGAGAGAGAGAGAGAGAGAGAGAGAGAGAGAGAGCGGTGAGGACTGTGGAGTGTGCGCGCGCGCTCGGTGTGGTGTGTACTGTCGTATTTATCGGGTGGCCCACACCGCAAGCGGAGGAAAAAAAGGAAAAAGGATTTATGGACTCATATTTGTGGGTCCCCATCTTGGGATGATCTCAGCCGTTGATACTCACCCACGTGGAGGATCCAACGGCCCGGGCTATGTTCAAGATTTTGGTGCCACGTTGGAAGGTGCGGTGACGTGGCGTAGTGGGAGGAAGGAAAAGGCGCGATTTTATTGTGCATTAATTTGTGGCAGGGTGGGGGAAGGAGGCTTGGAGAGAAAGAAACACGATATTAGTTCCTTCGTTTCAATTAGGAAATTACTGTTTTGGACATGGAATTTATTTGCTATTTATCCAACAAAAATTATTATTTCTAGATACTCTTCTCATCCCAGAGCTGTTTATTTAGCTTATCGGTTAAGCAAAAGCATTGAGTAATAAAGTGTGCGGAAACATCTATAAGTAGGGGTGGGTTCGGTACGGTTACCGTACCAAAACCCTTGTATCAATTACCGTACCAAACTTTCGGTTTGGTAAAATCTATTACCATTACCGTACCAAACTTTCGGTATACCAAAGTTCGGTATTGCCAAAAGTTTGGTTGGCATGGTATGGCAATGGTAATTGCCATTTTGTTTTGGGACAAAATATGTTTTTGTTTTTTTAACCCAATTCAAGGGCAAAACTTTTTTTTTGTACCTTTATCTCATACATTATAGATTAAATTTATCTATTATTCATCATTCACAATTCACACACATAATAATTCAAATGAAGCATCAAGATTCATCATGAAAATTAAGCTTACAATCCAAATAGAAGTTACGAACCAAAACAAATAGAAGTTAACAATCCAAATAGAAATTAAAGTTTCAAACCAAATGAAAATTTGAAGTAAACTTCAAAAAGGAGAATTCATTGATCAGTTATTCAAGCTTGAGATGTCGAAGCTTTTGGAGGAGGCATTGAACTTGTAGAAGATTGAGTTTGTGTCAAGCCTACATTACAAACAAAGAAAACATATTAATTAGTAGCAAGAAGAATTAAAGTTGAAAATCATTTAATAACAAATTTACTAAAAAAATTAAAGCATATCTTTCTTGTTTTCTCTTCTTCTATTTCTTTGTAAAATTGAAGCATATCTTTTGTTGGTCCTTGTAGAAGTTTACTTCACCTGCCCTAAGTCAACCACTAGTATACACTAGTGCCTCCATTATTTTAGGAGTCAAGGATACCCTAAAAGGGTTCACAACCCTCCTCCCTAGGCTAAATGCATTTTCACTAGCAACAGTAGAAGTGGGGGTTACAAAGATATTTTGGCTATTTGTAAAAGAATTAGGAACTTTTTTGTGTTTGATTTCCACAATTTTAAGAGATCAAAGTCACCAACAACAATGCTAATATAAGTAGGGTTTTATTTTCAAATTATTGGAATATTATATAATTTATAAATTATAAATTATATTGTATTTTCGGTATGGTACGGTAATACTGTGGTAATGGTATCCATTACCAATACCGTGTCATGAAATTTCGGTACGGTACAATACTGTACCATTACCAATTGGTACAAAAAATTTGGCACAAAATCGGTATGGCACGGTTGGCACAGTAATTTGGCAAAAAAATCCACCCCTATCTATAAGGTAAATAAAGGGTTTGAAAATTAAAGTTACTTTGATATTGTCGATATTTTCACGAAATATCGAATAAAATGAAAAGAAGATGAAATCTATACTTCACTACATATGAAGCAGATTTTAAAACATCAATAAATTTCGCTTATATTGTCTGTTGCTGAAATTTGGTACAGAATGTAGATTGTTGTCGACTCATTTTCTTCTTTGTTTCTTTTTCACGTTTTCTTTCAATATCGTTTGCTTTTGTGGAAGAGATTGAGTTTTCAGTCTGTTTTGTGAATTCAATTTGCTGGTTTCTAGTGCAGTAGAGGTTTGGAAAGTTTGGCATATCAACTATTTGTTTGGCTTCAAGCCTTCAAGCTTTCAGCACGATGTCATTCACCAAGCGCACGTAATCTGTGATTTTATAGTTTGAATTATATTTGGGTTTACACCTGTACCATCAGAGGTTTCAACATCAAGGTCCGAATCGGACGCATTTGTCTAGTGCACTCCTGCACATAATTTGTTCGACGAAATGTTTAAATGAATTGAGATTCTGCTTTCAATTTTACATTCCGTCTTATTTCAAGATTCTGTTTTTTTTTTTTTGGTACAAATCATGTTATTGAATGATCTCAAATGCTGAGTTTTTAAACATGATGCTTGCTCTCTTGTTTTGGGTTTGTATATCTCTTGATGGGGTTTTCTTTCTAAGTGGGAACCAAGTTGGAGGAGAATGATCTGTTAAGACTAAGTTATTAAAGATTTGAAATTGCGTTTACCTTATTACTTGTCATGAAAAAAGTTTTATTCTCATGTATCACATACTTATTTCTATACAGTATTTAATTATTAATTCTCGATTCATACATCTAATGTGGTTTCATATAACATTCTCTAAGAACATTTCTAAAGGAGATGTCAAATTTTAAACATAAAATTTGAATTTAACAGCATATGTAGCATTTCGACATTTTTCAAAATTTTACTCTCAACCCGATACGTCAAATTAAATATTATTTTATTACACTATTTTCTTTTCTTTTTATTTTATTAAACTATTATTTTCTAGGTTTGGAATGAAGACTGAGAGTCCCAACCCACCCCCACCCCTACGCGTAGAGAAAGAGAGAGAGCTCTCATTTCCTTCGAGAGACAAACGAAAGAGGTAAGCAGGCACGCACTCAATTCTCACCCTATGTTCTCAATTACGTATTCTTTAAATTTCCATCCAATTTTAAGTTTTAACCAAATATCGGACTCTTTTCCATTCATCATGACGATATCTGGTCTGATTGATTCCCCTTTTTAAATTATGGAATGTTGACTTTAGATAGGGTTTTTGGAAATTAAAGTTACAGCCTTTGAACGGTTTTTGGAAATTAAAGTTACAGCCTTTAAATTATGGAATGTTATGCCGTCAGACAATGGAGTCTTTAAATGTTATGTCTCGGTTCAATTGAAAATTTCTAATCCCAAGTGCTACTCCAACACCCGACGCCATACATGACAAAACCTTGGTTTAGGCATGAATGAAATTTCTCCTCGCATCCTCAGAGGCAACAATATCCAATAAGCAAATATCTATAGCTTAACAGCCGAGACCTAGATAAACATCCTACCTCTCTAACATAACACCTTAGGTTGTTCGTTCAGTCAGTTTTACTACGGAACGAACCTTTTCTCCGGAACCTGACAAGCGTATTGACACGCAACTCCTCAAGGCTTTGAAGAACAGGAAACAACATGGGACTTGAACTTCTCAAGCTCTGCCAGAACCTCCTCTTCGGGCCTGTAGATCAGATCACTCATTCTCCATATCTGCACACGGTTATTTGATTCAGAAATCAGTTTCCGTTACCAAATCGAGGCTACTTTCTTTTACAATATAAAATGGTTTCAGAAGAAAGTTAACATGTGAGATGAGATGATGGAGGGAGGGCATAAGGGTAAAACACATCATCGGTACACCAGGGTTTCAAGCTCTCAACTTTTTAAAGGAAATTAGCTTCCCAAATAATTTTCTCCATCACTACAATGCGAGGTTGACAGCACAATTATTCATCATGTGAAAACTCTCCACGATATTAAAATAACCACATTCTTCCTTTATCGTATGTAATGCTTAATATTCATCTCTTATGGTTTCTCATTCGAAAAAATGAAACACTTCCAACGAGGAAAAAAAAGAATCGAAATAAAAATACAAACACACATCCCGATACCTGCAATGTGCCCCCTCCGCCAGTACTTTCACAGTCATCAGACACACTGACAACAGTCCACGGATCAGATGCATTCCAATGGAAATCAACAACTTTGTCCCTGTATACAAATATAAAGTAAAGCAAACCATGAGAGAGAGAAAACTATAAGGAAACTAAAAGAACAAAAGTGCTCAACAAGTGAATCAAATGATAACAGTCATGGATCATGTTTTGGATACAGAAACTAAGATCATTCAGGTAATTTTACCAGGTAATTTTAAACATGTTGTAGATATACATTCAAAGATCAATCCGAGCCAAACAATAAAAGATCTAACAGACTCTAAGCAATAAGGGACTTTGATAGATAAAGGCTCTAAACCACAACGTCCAGTGTAAAACTTCCGACAAATATCTGGTGCAAAGATCAAGCTTGAGAGTCCAGTGAACATTGGTTACATTGATACAAAAAGCATCATGTTTTTCATCGTGTACAGTCTACTGACCACATGGACATAAAGATGAAGCATATATAGTGGCATGGGCACAATTCTAGACTCTGGCATGATGCCCATATAACAGACACCAGGTAAGATAGAAACCCAAGTGAGATGCCAAAAATTTACGAAAAACCAGAAACTTGAACATCAAGGGTGAAAAGATCCTCTACCAGACATCAAAAGTCTGAAAACGTTTCGTAAAGTATATTTTAAAATAATTTTAGTAAAAGAGATAGCCTCGAACCTGTGCCCAGCATGCTGGAAAAACAGACCAGGTGGTGAAGTTGGGCCTTTTGGAGTTCGCTCCTTCTTACTGACCTGCAGTGTATTATGTCTTCGTAAGTTATCACAACTTCCATCTGATTGAAGTTACAGGAAGAGGAATAGAAAATCCAAAACTCCCAATTATTTGGAAACACTTTCTTCATTATGCCAAAAATAATTAAACAGAAAGATTCAAAATTACTAGAACATTATGAAGGTCACCATACCTTCTCATAATCCCAAATGTTTAAAAGACCATCCTCTGCAGAACTTCCAAAGACAGACGATTTGTCTGGACACCACTGAAAATATAAAAATAACTTGGTAAAAACAACAGACACACATGCAGTTCTTGAAACAGATGTACTAAATTTCTAGAAATTAGCATCACAAAAAAGGAGTATAATTATTACCTGAACACAAAGAACAGCTGCTTTATGACCCTCAAATTTATATATA